TAACATAAATTGGGTAGCCGGTAACAAATTGCGCATAGCGGTAAAAAAATTAAACACGAACTGGTATTAATACCATAGAGGCTGGAGTTAACAAAGGAACCACTCGCGCCGCACCGTAATAGACCACACGGTTTAAATAGAACTGTCTACCGCATCCAGTAACAGGCGCTTTGAACATCAAGTACATCAAGTTACGCGAGGTCAACACAGTAAGTAGTTTTTCCTCGAGTGACTATTAGAATTGCGATGTTTGCATCGTAAATGTAAAACATACGCAGTGAATAGTTTTTGACCGGGATTTTTTGCGATTTCAAATTATCACTGTCACTTGCAATGGCAATCAGAAAACGGTGTGTGCGTACATCTCACACACCACACACCACAAGCAGCACACACGACACAACACAACACACAGCCACACACACACACACGCTCCACAGCACAGCACGTCATGTAGCATTAGTACTATATATATACAGTGACGCTGGGTTTTTTGAAATCAGATACCATTCAGTGTTAACATCGATTGATATGGTTTTCAACGTGTTTTTCCAAACGACCCGGCAGAAATTTAATTCAGAAATTCATGAATTGATTATTAAGTAATAATAATTCATCGAGTAGACAAGTGATCATTACAATTATGCACGAGCAGTCCGAAGACGGCAGTGAGTAGTGACCTGCTAATGAAATGGATTGTTTGTCTTGTTGAGGGATAATATAATCAACAATTAATTTAATATAATAATAATTTCAGAAATAATATTACATTAGCATAACATAGGAACAACTATTTCGTATTTCAATCGGTGATATTATGATACTCGTGTATTATGCCAAAAGGACCCCTTTTGTGATGAACGAGGGGAAAGCGCGTGGAACGAGCATATCGGAAGTCTCGCGCTTACGCAAGATTGCCGTGAGCTTCGGCATGGGGAAGGTCAGCATAGAGAAGAAGATCGCAGGAGCCGAGCGGTCCGTCCTGTCTCGCACATCTAAGCGAGGCCAACCAAATGGCAGGCGAATCGATCACACAGGTAGAAAGAGATAACCAAAAATATTGTATACATAGTAATATATATATCCATCTCTAACATCGTCCACACTCATCTGCTCTCATCCTACTTCATAATCACTGACGCTTATCCCTTAATCCCTCTAAAACTATCTACCATACAACCATATTTTGCAAATCACTTGATCGCACAGTTTTGTGTGTTGTCGTGTGTGCGTGTGTGTGTATGTGCGTTCGCGTGTGTGAGCGTCCCTCCTGCGCGCGTGTGTGTGTGTGTGTGTGTGGTGTGTGTGTGTGTGTGTGTGTGTGTGTGTGTGTGTTGTAGCATACATATATACATTATACAAAGAGACTGGTTATGTTGCACGGCGTCCGCGCGTGCGCCCAACCGCAGGCTCTGCTCACAGTTGTTGGCGTTGAACGTGATGCCTGCTATTACACCTCACTCGGTGCTCGGCTAACGCACACGCCGCGCCACCGAAAACCACACGGCCGTATGATCGCCCGCGTCCCGCCTGACCCAGGGCGCGCAGCCTTCCTCAAGACTCTAACCCTGACGACAGTCAACATCCTCTTCGATGATATGACGGCACAGGTAAGTACCTTTCGGTTAATATACACGTAAATGTTCTGGGTGTCGGTAAAATACAGGTCGCGTGTTAAGTGCGGGTACGGCCCGTCGGTAAACATACAGGTACGCCGTCGTAAAATAACAGGTGCGGCGTACAAGTCTGTAACTAGACACAGGTACTGCCGTCGTGTACTATACAGTGTAACGGTACCAGTCGGTAAACATACAGGTACGGGTGCCGTACTGGTAACTACAGGTACGCTACGCGTCGGTAACATACCAGGTACGTGCCTGTCGTAAAACATAGCAGGTGCGCGACTAGCCTGTCGCGGTAAACAATACAGTACGCGGGTGCCGACCGACAGAGCCTAAGTAATTATACAGGTACGAAGGTACCCCAGTGTAACGATATAACAGATATACGTACCGGATGTGCTCGAGCACCGGCCCCGGTCGAGTAACATCACAGGTACGTGCCGGACAGTCCTGCGTACCATACAGGTACGACGCTACTAACTCCACAAGTCGGTAACATACAGAGTACCACAGCTGTCGTATTATACAGGTACGCGCTGTCTGTACTCGTCGTACATACGAGGTATGTACCTGATCGGTAACCATACTATTTCGATACAGTACGTGGCCGTCCGTAACATACAGGTACGCGTACCGGTGCTAGTACGATACAGGTACGAGGTACAGTCTGTAACGAGCGCAGGTTGCTTCGACGGCACGGACAAGGTCCTCACAGCGCAACCGCTCGTACTGGAACTGGAACCATATGCTGATGGTCAAAGGAAAACTCCTGCTGCCTTGGCAAGCTAAATTACACCCAATGACTTTGTGTCTGGCAATCATCAAACTTACACCGTGCACGGCATTTTAAGTGTTTACAAATACGTTCGAGTAAGCGATACAGGGGGGGGTCAATTACATACACGACAAAAAGCCACATGGGTGAAACACAGACACCACAGGGTGCGATTGAAAGAGTGTACTCTCGTTAACATTTCGGCATGGTCCTAAGGACATAAGAAACATGATCGTGACCCCGAGGACCGTGATCCTCCAGAGCCGCGACACGGGCGAGGCACGCTGGTGGAGCAAGGCCTTAACTAACATATAGATATTACATCCCGTTATGGAAGCGAACAAATTCGCTGTAAAAAAAGGTTAACATTAATTTATTCGACGTTTGTCTCCCGGAAATCGCGACGTTTACCATTTGTAATAAATGATATATATTTATATAAATAGTATAATAATTATATAATATATCATATATATAAATAATATAGCTCATATATATATATACTTAAATATTTCCTACTTTCAATATCAATAACAATCGCCAATAGCGTCATTAATTATCGATTTAAATTTATAATTCGGATATTTTGCCGTTTGTCAAGTTATAATCGACTAAGACCTCGCGGTTGTGGAAATGGGTTCATTTAAGTCATGGAAAATTGCCGGAAATTCATATGAAAAAGAACTTTACGTTATTCCTACGATTACCCGTAAACAGAAAAAGGCGCCATTAGGCCGCCCCTGGAAAACAACAGAATCCAAGAAAAAACTTGTTCTTTGCCTGCGCGCGGACGTTGATACGCGGTATGTGTTGCATACACAGGGCATGCTTAACTTCTTCCCTGTACTGCGACACCTGCCGGTCTTCAGCCGCATGCTGAGAGAGCTGGACGGGGCGTTCTTAGGATTGAACAAGGAGCTGCAGAGTAACATAGGCGAGCACGAAGAGCAGGCGGCGGAGAAAGAGGGAGACGTGAGAGACTACTTAGACGCATACCTGCTAGCGCAGCGGCAGCGGGCGGGGACAGATTCAACGTTCACTAGTGAGTCAAGCGTTGCACAAACACGCACGCACATACCCACACTCACAAACACACGCGCGCGCACGCACACGCACACACACACGCACACGCACAAACACAAACACACACAAACACATCCTTTAGAAAAGTACGTTCGCACGCACGCACAAATGCACGCCCCCATATACACGCACACAAGCACAAACACACACGCGCGTGCACGCACGCACGCACGCACGCACTTACACGCGCATATCACAAGAACGAATGAGGTTACATTAATTACACAATACGCGAGGGAGTTGACAGACACTTACGTATGACGGCTTCATCTTACAGGTTTTCAGCTGCTCGTCTCCGTACGCGATCTGTTTCTCGCCGGATCGCACACCGTCATGACGACGCTACGCTGGGGCCTGCTCTTCTTGCTCAAATACCCTCACGTCCTGCGGAAAGTGCAGGCCGAGATCGATGACGTCATCGGACGAGGGAGGCTACCCTGCATAGCGGACCAGGACAACATGCCGTACACGCGGGCGACAATAGCCGAAGTGCAGAGAGTAGGTGAGAAGGACAGCTAGCGTGGTCAGTAGGTAGCATTCAAAGACAGCAGGCCTGATTAGGTGTGACAGAAATATTGTTTGATGATACTTAGCAGGTTTTTTTCTCACAGCATAACTAGGCGAGCGAATCTACTAAACGCCTAGATACTCTGAGAAAACGCCATCCGCGAATTTCTTTCTTGTTTCTAGCCGACATTGTGCCTCTGAGCGTGCCACACAGAACGACCATCGAATTTCAGCTAGGAGGTTACGTCATCCCCGTCGGTACGGCGATCATTGCTAACCTCACGGCCATCCTGAACGACCCGAAACACTTTTCCGAACCGGAGAAGTTTCGTCCAGAGCGCCACCTGGACGAGCGTGGAGACTTTGTGCAGAACGAAGCGCTGATCCCGTTCTCCATTGGTGAGATTACTTGCACGGCCGCAAGATGGCGACACCAGGGCAAGGAGAATACAGTGACGTTATCCGTCAAAAAACTGCAGCCGTGATCGTGGTTGGGGACCCCTGCTAGGTTATTGTTTTCGAGGGGTGCTGATTGGGCGATGCCCTGAAACCCGCCAACTTTGGTTTTTGATTTTTTCAAATAATTGGAATTAAATTAGTGTTTAATACACCGTCGTACATGTTTTACATGACCAGGGTGTGTTTTACCATATCACGGCAGGGCAGACTACTCCGCCACTCCCCTTCTCAGGTCCGATCTCCCTAAACTTCTCAACAAAAGTGTTCTATCGACATTCCCTGTTTATTCTAAGATAAAAAAAAATCCTTATCATCATCATCATCATCATCATCATCATC